TCCTGCCAAAGAACGGCCCGGTGCCGACGGGGGTAACGGGGGTCGTATCTCGAGAGGTGAAATGCGACCGATCACTCGGAGAAGGCGAGTGATTGAGTGGCGGAGGGCTTTCTTCGTAGTCTAACATAGACTTATAAAGGATGAGGTCAGAGAGGAGGGTGAAGGGATGGGAGGTTAGTGGGATAGTCGTCGCCGGTCGTAGATGGTCGAGTTGAGCGTCGGTGAGGGCGGTGACGTGATGAGGTCGCCGCGGAGATGGGGGGATGGTGGTGGTGAAGGCGCTGCGATAGAGGTGAGGTTGGAGATGGGGCCAAATGAGCGACGATAAGGTGGGGAAGCTGCGCAGGGGGAGTTCAGTGCGTGTACTGCAGCTGGAGTCGACAGCACAATGGTCGTTGATGAGTCTGCTGAGTGGAAGGCAGGATTGCGAGAGGGTTGGAAGTGTGAGTCGGCGATGAGGATGATGAGTAGGAGGTCGATGATACAGTCTGGTACGTTTCTGGACGGGTTAGTCCCATGCGAGTCGAGTCGTTACGAGCGGTGGTTGTTGTTCTGTCACTTTGTATGGGCACTATGGGCACTATGGGCACTAGGTATGGGCACTTTCGGCTCCCAGATCCCTGCGCCTGCCAGTGCTGCCAGGCTCGCAGCGGTGCCAGGCTCCTCAAGGCTCCTCCTACCCGGTACAAAGGCCACGGCCACGGGCAACTAGGCCTAGTGAGCCATCATCTCCGCCCAGCACGTCAAACTTACCCGCATCCACAATTGTAACTCTAGCCCGGACCCTCGGTAGTGGATGCGATTCCCACTTCCTACCTCGAGAACGAGGGCCTTGCCCTCGCCATTCTGGAAGCCCGACCAAGACGTCTTCGTCGTCAATCAGACGTGCAGCCGACGAGCAGCTGCGCATTTACCTCATCCCATCATATTCGAGATGAACGAGTTGGCTCAACACCTTGACGATCGACTCTTCATTCTTCTGTCACGCTCTAGAGCTATCCCTAGCTCTGCAGACGGTGCCGTTTCTGGCGTCATTCACCAACACTGTTACCTGCCTCCTCATCCCGTCTTGACCGTCCTCCCCAACATGCCTGAACTCTATGTGGTTTGATGTCCACAGACACCTCATTGCCAGCCGCATCTAGGCTCATTCCGTGTCAGGCCGTCTTCAACGCAAGAGCAGCCATGATCATTGTTGGATGGCAACGCTGGAACCCGAAGGAAGACTTTGAAGGAACCACCGGAACGGACAGGGAAGCCGGATTGCAGACACTGGTAGCAGTGTCATGGTATACTTGGTACAAGCAAGGGACGGGCAGGCTGAGGCCCGGTTCAAGACTGGATTTTCCTCTCCCGACGCGATTGGCACCTCTCCGAGATCCCATCCTGGTGAATCCCGACCCTATTGTGCCAATACCTTCTTTGCTTCCTAGGTAAACTCCTCTCGCCTCGGCCCCCAACCGTGTCCTTCAACTCCCGGGAGTTTCTAAGCCAAGCCCTTGGCCAGACAGAGTGTTGTGGTTGTCTACGTGATGTTTCGTCCACGATGAACGCGAATCTTTCTCTTCAGAGCACCCGGCCAGCACCGACTCCGCGAGTCCAAGAGATGTGACTTTTCGGGGTCTTGCCGCAAAAGGAGTCCCCATCCAACACTCCTGACTGTGAATGCTATTCTGTGGGTCGGCTGGAGCACCCACCAGCCCCCTTGGGTATGGTGGGCTGGCCTGGGTGGCCTCTCATTAGTTTCCTCTTCTTGAAGTCGCCAGTGGTCCAGTGTCTCGGGATGCAGGGCTCTAAACTCAGGTATCCACCGGTTGTCGGTCAAGATGCCTTCTGACGATGTTTCAAGCGCCCATCCCAACATCGATGGAATCGGTCAAAAGGCGTAGTGCATCCGCTCAATTGGCCTCCTTTGTTGTCGGCCCTTTTCCTCACGGAACATCTCTTAACCACCAGGGCTGCATGTTATTCATAATCTCTAGAAGCTTTGGTGCCATTGACTGTGTTTAACTCGCACTAAAAGCCCGGGACGACCAAAGGCTGAGAAAGGCAAGATTTTGTGGCGTCGTGTGGGCATCCATGTGGCTTTCACGAAGCCAACGGGCAGCCGGATGCGAAATCATCTCCGCCGTCTGACCACACGAATCCAAGCATCCGCCAGTGGCCTTGCCATCTCTCATTTCGGGTTGGGACATAGAGGGGAGAGCCATTTTTTCTCTTTTCGGGAATTTGCTTGCTGCACGCAATGTTACCGCCGTTAACATCAGACTGAAATGTGATCACTGTTCAATCGTTTTGTGATGCAATCAGAAGCGCGGTCTCGCTTGGTGCAGCAAGTAGCGAGGTTGGTTTCGCTGATCGCAGCATAGATACCTCGTAAAGCAACGGAACGACTTCATTCGGGCCTTTAGCTCGCAGTCGATTCGTCCGCTGATGCAATGCTCGCTCATGGGTAAAACAGCCGTCAGCACATCCATCGAAACTCCAAAGCCTCGCTAGGTCGCCCAACTAGGTTTGCGCGGCTTGGAGGCCGAGCAATTGCCAGGATGGTTGAATTCCCTTGCTGTGCCCGGCGAGCGGTTACGTATTGTTTCGATCTTGTCTCACGAGGCGTGGGCGGGCTCAAGGCAATTGTGCCGAGTCTTCCTAGTATTCATGGGCCGCAGCCTAGCATCGGTGCTCCGTATTCGGTCATTCTGCATTATTAAGTTGGCTTACACAGGGGGTGCAAGTAATGGCTGCATGCAACGTTTGGGACGCACTCGAGATGATCGCTCTGTCAACGCAGGTCACCCGCCGTCTGCAATCATTTCGGGGCTATGACCGAATTCTGCAGAGTATTGTTAGAACGGGTGGACAATAACTGGAGAAGGCCACTTTGGATCCCCAGCAGTTACAATTTGGCCACTCTCTCGTTCAAAGCAATAAGTACGAAGTGAAAGGATTCGACCCGTAGATCAGAATTGCCTCCGTTCAAGGGACAGGCCACAATATGGAGTATGGGTGGCTGCTCTTCGCGGGGTCGCCGACTTCTGATCAAATATTCACTCATATCAACCTCTCACATTCTCCAGTGGGACGAAAACTGCCGCTGGCAAGGCTGCATCAGAAGCTACGTCGCCTTCGACACCCTGCCACTACTTGTTACTGCCGCCACTGCCTACTGGGTATGTTCCAAGTACTCCATATGTCAAACCCCAAAGACATGCCGAGGTTGGTGGGATTTCAGCGACGGACAGGATGTGCGGCATTTGCAGACAGCCTTGCGGAGCATGGTGGAGCCCCCCTTGATCTTTGTGCGACGACGCTTGAAAGGGATTGGGCATGTGCCATTTCTACCAAATGCACATCTGCAAGGTACGCAGGAAACGATGCATTCAGAGCTTAGGGGTTTGAAAAATGTTTCAGAGCCTTGCGAACATTAACCCTTCGGAGATAGTTCGATCATTAACACGAAGCCTTGGCCACTCTTGACTCCTGAAGAGGGTCCCAAGCCTGCCGGGCATCAGCCGCGCGCGTGACCTTGTGTTTACTTCACGTTCGATGCCGTTCAAGGTATTCGGTAGGCTCCCCCGAATCATCATGGACTCTGGCAGCCGACGCTGAAAACTGAACTTTTGCCCTTGCAAATGAGCGCTGGGGGCGGAGGCGCTGACACCTCTGCCTCATTGGAAACCAATCTGACGGCGTGACAACCCAAATGTTGAGTGAAGATCTATTCGCAAAAAGATCCCATTTGCCAGCAAATTGCAACCGAGTGTGTTCGATGCTGTACCTGTAATCGATTGCCGAAACCCATCTGTCGAGGTCAGCAATTCCGGAGGGATGATTTGCCCCTGGTGCCCGCAGGGCAGTGGCCACTCAAGCAGGTAGGCTTCGGCAGAACCCCTTGCAGCTGCCAAGGGCTTCTGGAAGGCGTGGAAGCCGGCAGTGCCAGAGTGACGGGACCGTACGAACCTCCACAGCAAGTCTCGGAACACTTCAGCCTGAACTTTGCGGACACTTTGACAGGCAGTGACAGGCTTGCCACCAGAAGTGAGACAAGTCACTTGCGAATGTGCATTGGTTGGAGATGAAGAAGGTTACGGGATGCCCTTCACTGTCGGGAAACACAGACCCCGAGAACCCCACAGGAGAATACCGCTCTCTACACGTGACTCTTAGATGCTTGACTTGCTGCTCACCTGGTCAGCATCACTGTGTGACCGCCATGGCTGTGTTTGGGCTTAGAGGTGCAATGTGATTGTCATTGCTACATAGCAGCCTACCTAATTTCCTCGAGCATGCCAGATAATCACCGCCTTTCCTACTGTGTACAAACACCCCTAATCCGCATGGCTCTGTGACGATATCTCTACAGAGAATACTAAATGAGCGACTGGTCTCTTGCGATCACCATGCACTATCTCTGGAAGCGGGTGTGTTCTTAGAGGTGAAATGAGCAACATGAAACCCGTCTGAAGTCGTACTTCTACCGTACTCTGTAAAACCAGGTAAGCAACATGTCCGCCGCTCCTTCCACCATGACCCTGAGATATGAGAGACACGAGCAAAGTGGCATGCGGCATCTCCATGGCAGTTCTGGACTCGGTGAGACACATCAAGTGTAACGGAGCTGGGTCTTTGTCCTGGCACTGCACTCGAATCTCCGCTCCAGCTCTTTTTGAAGTCAAGTCTTCATAATCAGCGTATCAGCTTCGTTTTCGCCGACCGAGTTCGCAGAGAAGCTTTGTCTTGGAACCGATGGTCCCTGACACCCCTCAATGGGCGATGGAGGGAGAGCAATATGGCTCCCGATCACACTACCAATCGCTCGATGGCAGTGCGGGCACCGTGGGCCTAGGCTCTGTCGATACCGGATGTATCGGTTGAGATTGGTGACAGCCACCCAGCCATGCATGAAACTGATATGAATCGTCAGAAAAGGCACGCCAAGGGCTTCGAAGCGCAATTGAAAGTGCCACAAATGCCAAATGATGTGTTTCGGGGAGGACTTCAACTTACAAAGCAACCAAGGCCCCAATAGTTGAGTACGACATCATCATCGTCGGGTTCCATTGCCAGCTTCCTCTAGTGGCGGTTTCAATGGTGCTGCAGACATAGAGGACCAGGAACGTAAGGACACCAAGCGCATCGATTGTGAGTTGGAAGACAGATGGACATCGGATATCCTCGCGGCCATCGTTGTTGTCATTCCATGTCGGACGTTTTTGCCGGAGTCTGAGCAGAATGACCCCCAGATTGTAGAGGATGGATATTCCAAACACTGCACCTAAGACGATGAAGATCGGAGACATCACAGCAAAGCTGAGGCCAAGTGCTACCGAGTTATTGAGAATGAGCAGGAGACGAATAATCGGCTCGAGGTCTAGAAGCGGTAGGGGTTTGCTAAAAGACGCCATGTTGCTGTTAAAAGCCTCGAAGGCGAGAAAATGCTATGGAATGGTCTGATGGAGAAAAGGTAAGAGTCTTCTGAGGACCTAGGCGCTTTCAATGAGGGTTTGCAGGATATATAAACCCCCTAATACTCCGCACATTGATCTATGTACGGAGTACCTGTACCGAGTAAGACATTCACACATTCAATGGTTTGAGGGTGAGTGAGGCTGTGTAAGACTTGAAACGCGGTTGCCTAGGGAGGAGTGGGGATCTTTGAATGTGATGTTCTACTAGGTAAATGTCTCTTACCATATGTAGGATAAGTCTTCCTCGTACACCAATTGTATCCATTTCGGATGGAGGTCAGAATCCTGCGAGTCAATCAGTTTCCTCTATCGAGGTCTCGGTGCTTGTAGGTGTAATCATTAATCCGCATTGACGACCGTGCAGAGAGCACCAGAAATCGGACAGTCTACCTCGTACTTGAAGACCGCTTTAGGCACCACGTTAACATCAGTGTGTCGAGCAGATAGAGAGTGTGACCCATATTCCGTACAGACACAGTCCTCCGTAAAGATGGATGCCCTTCCCGCTTCTCTATGCTTCTCAGCAACATAGCACGTGCACGGAGAATCGTCCAATCGTCCCCTCGGGGCGGGCGCGACCTCTGACAGCTGGAGAAGTTGGGTTGGGGGCCAGCGCTTTGGCGAATCGTACCCAGTGCCCAGGCCTCAATGAAGATGTGCTGCCGTTATTGTGCTAGTTGAAACTAGTAGGACATCGAGGCAGCGTGGCAATGCCTTTGCGACTTGTTGTGATAAAAGCCGGCACTGGGATATGGAGGTTGAATTGAACGTACAGATATGTACGAAGACCGAATACAATATGGAGTGTGTGATGTTCCCTTTGTAAGCAGGGCTGAGCAGACTAGTGTTCGCAAAAATTCCACGTCGGATAAACAGATTTTCCGTGGTCTTGGCAAAACTCACTTCAAACTCTGCAAGGTACTGGGTAGTTGACATTCAATTTCACATATTCCTATCAAGTCGTGTTCAGCCTGTTTCGTTCTCATGAAGACGCCGAAGAGGTAACGCACACAGTAGCCTTGAAGAAGTAGGCTCGAATTCGCATGCGGAGCACCGAAGACTGCTTAGAGATAGTCTCACTAGATGGAAAATCCTGCTGATCAGCCTCAACTTGATATCTCTGTCAACGACATGTCAAATGATGCCACTGAGGACACTGGGACTCACCAGCAAACAAACGAGTCGCCAGCAACTGTTAAGCGCAAGGTTGACGAGCTTGACCCGTCAACAGAGTGCAAGGATAATAAGCGGAGGAAGGGAACAGCCCCCATCAAAGAAGAATTCTTGCTCAAGTCTGACGACTTGATTGAACCTGGGCTTGCTCCCGACGGAGCTGACGATGATGCCGCTGAAGCCTTTCACCACAATGATAGGCAACCAGTAAGCCAGAACAGCAGAGGTAACCGCCGCCGTGAGAAGAAGGCGGGTCAGAACAAGGCCCGTGAATTCGGCAGTTCGAGGGACGAAGTTGGGTTGTGTTCTAGTCGAGTCAACAGACCTGAGTTCTCACCAGATCTATGCTCTTATGGAGATCATTGTCGTTTCGAACATGACATACGGAAATACCTCAGAGACTACAAAAGAATAGACCTCTCCACATTCAACGGTCTGTGCCCTGTATGGGAGGCCAAGGGAAAATGTCCGGCCGGCTGGAAATGTCGTTTTGTCGGCTCTCACTCTAAAGAAGTAGACCACGGCGACGGCCGACAGGAGCTGGTCTTGGTCGAGGACGCTGAACGGATGGCAAAATACGCCCAGACCGCATCCGAAGACGGGGAGGATGGCGTGGCGAATGCCCTCACCTCTCAGCAAAGAATTGAGCTGACAAAGAAGAAAGTTCCCACGCCAAAATCAGACAGATTTCTGAAGTGGCTCGATAAACAAGCTCAAACCCCAGCCGACCAGGGTCGAAAACGACGAGATCGGAACGGACCTTCCGCCTACAGATCCTTTCGCAACTCGTCGTCTCCTGAGCCCGATCCTGGTCGAGGTGAACCAAATGGAGAGGAGGCACAAGAACTGAGAGCTGCTTTCCAGGATACTCCTCTTCGACCATCAGAGAAACGTCGACTGTACTTTGGCCCCGAAACTCCGATTTTAGCACCCTTGACCACGCAGGGTAATCTGCCTTTCCGACGCTTATGTACTTCTTTAGGTGCAACCTTTACGTACTCGGAAATGGCCATGTCTTTGCCCCTATTGCAAGGGCAGAAGTCCGAATGGGCTCTCGTTAAAGCTCACGAGTCGGAGGTTCAGGCCCCTACCTTCTCGATCAAGGGCAGCGACAACATTGTCTTCGATTATGATCAGAAACGAGACCTTCGATTCGGCGCGCAAATCGCCGCCAACAAACCTTGGGTAGCGGTCAAAGCCACGGAGATTCTCACCAACCTCCTGCCTCGAGGTCTTCGAGTGGTTGATCTCAATGTGGGGTGCCCGATCGATCTAGTCTACAAAGAAGGTGCTGGATCGGCTCTAATGGATTCGCCACCTAAGCTGGAGAAGATGCTTCGGGGGATGAACGCGGTCTCGGGTGAGACACCTGTGTCAGTGAAGATTCGAACAGGTACACGAGACAAGCAACCGACTGCGCAAAAATTGGTCGATCGACTCGTGCTAGGTAGTGGGCATGGGCGGGGGGATACATGTGGTGTCGCGGCTATAACTCTCCATGGACGATCAAGGCAGCAGAGATATACCCGTTCTGCGGACTGGGAGTACATCACAGAGACAGCATCTCTGATGAAGGAGCTTAACGAGAAGGCAGATGCTCTCGCTGACACTATCCATGAGCCGGACGAACGAGACCAACCGAACGGTCACAAAGGCTCAAGAAACGGCAAGGTCTTCTTCATTGGGAATGGCGATGTGTTCTCACATGAACATTACCATGATCATTTTCAGCATGCGGGAGTCGATGGAGTCATGGCCGCTCGAGGGGCGCTTATCAAGCCATGGCTGTTCGAAGAAATTGAAGCAGGGCAATATCTGGACAAGTCGTCCTCGGAGCGACTGCAGATGGTCGAGCGTTTCTGTCGATTTGGCCTGGAAGCCTGGGGAAGTGACGAGATCGGCGTTGGGCAGACACGACGGTTCTTATTGGAGTGGCTCAGCTTTGCTTGCCGATACGTGCCAGTCGGGCTTTTGGAGTATCTGCCGCCTAGCATCCAGGATCGACCCCCTCGGTACCGAGGACGGGATGAGCTTGAGACGCTGATGGCCAGTGACAACTACAAGGACTGGATCAAGATCAGGTGAGGAATTCACACTAGATTTTCTGCAGACAAAATGCTAACGAGGGTTGAAGTGAAATGTTCTTAGGCCCAGCGCATCCCGACTTTCGATTTGAGCCGAAACACAAATCCAACAGCTACGAGATTCAAGCCGAAGGCTGAGTGCGCTGAGTGCTTAAAGGATCAGAGGTTGAACACAACAGGGGAAGGCAGCGTCGGGTGCTCTCCAAGGAGAGGTCTCACAATCGGTCATAAGGCTACCGTTCAACTTGCAAGGCTGGGGGAAACCTCCAATTTGACCCCGAGCCGCGCACGTCTTTTCTTCCCAAAAAGGAGCAACTGGGTCAAAGTCACAATCGAGGTGAACGACTTTGTTCATCTGGTCTCTGCCTCGTGATTCTGTGTGTAGTGAAACTTACACATTGTGGCCCTTCCCTACCCAGACACAGATTTGACTATGGACAAGGTCGATGCGGTAATCCGTGGCCACTGTCTGTGTGGATGGAAAAACCTAGCCATGATTGATTGATAGCAATAGACAGCTGAACAATGGAACCAGCGTCTTTATCAGCACGTATGCAAGGCTGCCACCCATCGGCCCCCTTGACCTGGACGCGGTAGCGCTGACGCGCCAATTCCCTCCGCTTCCCTCCGCCTCTTCTCGTTCCTTTTGCGGCAAGCGTGGAGTCTTGGCCGCATCCTTCACGAGTCTGATCACCATTGCACCACCTCCCATCATCATGATCATCAGGCGAGCGGGCTACCTGTGCCGTGTTGAAGGAGCTCGGAGATGACTTTACTCATATGACTGCCGACCACTACCATTCGCACCATAAGCTGACCCAGGGCAGCTGTTGTGGCGGCGGCGGCGCGGTTACGACTCCTTCGCTTTCGACCCCATTGTTCAAAAAATGAATGAATGATATGAATCTATCTATTTGGCTCTTCCAGTGACAACAATACTAACAGACCCTTTTCCCCGCCCTGTGGACGCTCCAGACTCCAGAGACACCAACAATGTCTCTGACCGAGAACCTCTCCGGCATCGCATCTCTCCCGGCACCTCTGCCTCCAGTTCCCGACGGCGAGGTCTTCACCAAGGAACAATGGGACACTCTCTTCTCGATCCTGGAAGTCTTCATACCGTCCATCCCCGCGACCTCAAATGGAGGCCAGTCTACGGAATTCGACAAGGCGCTTTCCAGACTCAAGCCGTATCAGCCGGAAGGTGTCTCTGAGGATGTGGCCAGGGCATTTCTGTCCGAGAACCCTATCGCAGATCCCGATTTCAGACAAGTTGTGGCTCGAAAACTCAAGCTCTACGTTCCTCCTTCAGATGCACAGGGATTGGGGTTTGTTCTGTCCCTGTTCAATACCACCGTAGGCTCCTATATCCTGACGGGCTACACCACGCCAATCCACAAACAGGACCTAGAAACCCGTGCCAGAATAGTCTGTCAGTGGTCTGTGGCGCGGCTATCTCTCCTAAGGGCTGTATACAGGTCCCTCAGCGGTTTAGCTAGACAAGTTTGGCTTGTTACTTCTCCTAATCTGCGCCGCATGCTCGACTTCCCTGATATCCCCAAGGGCCTGGAGCGAAATCCAAGCTATGACTTCAAATTTCATGACTTCAACTCTCCATCAACGTCCACGACACTCACGACAGATGTAGTGATTATTGGATCCGGCTGCGGCGCTGGTGTG